TAATGACTATCTAATATCGCACCGTTCTCATAAATTGATGATTAATGTCCGTTTGTCTATTATACATTCGGTGATTTTTTACCGAGTTATATCCTACCACACGCATGTATAAAAATGTACAGTGTGATTGTGTGCAAATTAAATTGGACAACATAAATAAAAAGATTATTTAGGTCAAAAGCCATATCAGTAGACCTCATAAACTTCATATAGGCCAAATGCCACCTTAAACCGATATTGCATGGAATAGGTCAATATCTTTAAATTTCGACTTAAAGGAAGTTTCTATATTCTCTTCCATTAGAGCTTTGCAGCATGAGAAAGTTGAATTCATCAACTTATCTAATCCCTGAATACGACGGGTACTAAAAAAGTTTCCCAATATAGCAAATTATTACAGAGTCAGTGATCCTCAATTTTCTTCAGGCCTTTCATATCAGTTGTTTCCACTCTGCAGAAAAGACGATGAAAACGAAAAAAATATGTAAAAACTCAAATCCATTGTATAAATCATTATCTGAAACGTCTCACATTCATGCTCAAATCAATAATATCAATTAGTGATACTCGATCCATATGAACAAACATCTAAGAATAATAGAACATAAACAACAAAATGTATTCTCCCTCATTACGTAAAAATATGAATATAATTTGGATATTAAATGCCAGTATTAGTTAGTGTATAGACATCATTATTTGCAAATTGTTTACTTATAACTACAGTGCTAAGTGCCGGTCGTGGTGTTTGGAACTCTTCTTTGTTGTTTCTTAGCCGCTATTTCTGTAAATATAGGAGCTACTCATATGTAAGAAAGTTAGATGAAAACATCTCCTTTGCATGTTCATCATTTTTTCTCATCCTCTTCAGTATTTTGCCATACGACAAGTATTACCATAACCAAGAATTTGTATACTCTGAAGAATTAATTGCCGGAATTATGTTTTTCCTTTACCATGAACATGGTAAGATACTAAGAATTTCTGGGCCCTTGACTTAGAATAAGGATTGGTCGAGCTAGTGAATACGTTTAGAGTAGAATGTTGGTTCATGGTGGCTGAAGGTAAAGTCTACAAGAGAACTGTAACAAGCCAAGTCGAGGGGCAAAAGCGTACTTAACATTAAACATGACAGAGAGGGAAAATTAGTTCTTTTACGTCATTCTAATTTTCCTACAAGGTAAAGGACGAATTAAGTAACTAGATCCCACCCAACACCAAACTGATTTTTCATTTTCATCAACTTATGGAGTTCTGAATTTGAACAAGCAAAAATGCATGTGTGAGGAAAAAAAACGATTAGAAACTTACGTTGTTCCATACAGTATAATCTTTTGGACTTTTGTAGTCTCGGAACCAGATTGATTCTCCTCGATGAAGATTGTCAAGCTGATTCACGCAACTTATGGATTATGAATATGAAACTAGTTAAAAAATATAACGGCATAAGGAGAAGAAACGTACCTGCGGACATTTTGAAACTTGACATACTTTACAACGACAGTTTTCCCTAGAGAGATTCAACAATTGATTAAGTTTCTACAATGGAACAAATTTTACAACCAAGGATCATAATCGAACAATATTGCTTTACCGTAAGGTTATCCTCAGAAAAGATGGCTGTATCACTTGGAGGGTAATCATTGACATTACTGTGTAAAGTAACATAATCAGAACAAATTCAAGAAACTACCGAACATCCACATAAATAATTAAATATAAAGACTACCTGAACCCCATGTGCTCCCTATTAACAAAAAGCTTCACAGTTTTCGGACCTATAAAATGAAAACTTCGACCATCAGTTTATTAGAGAATAAAGATCCAAAAGGCAACTGCCGTACATTATAATGAATCGGAAATGTCTAACAATTTAACCATTAAAATTAACCAGGATAGAAGTGCAAATCAAAGAGAAACGATAGTGTGCTTCCTGTTGCTAATAAAATAAGATCCATAAATTTAAGCACGAAGGGAACATAACTGCTAATTTATCATGCCTGGGAAGCAAGAGCAAAAGGACGAGGACATGTATAAAGAATTTATATTACACCCAACAACCATATGGTATATAGTACTGGCAGAAACACATAAAAATGAGGATGGACTGGAAACAGATGTACAAAATTTATTCAACGTTCAACTGCCGTAGTACAGAAAGGGTCGACTAAAAATAATAAATAAATAAAAGGTAACAGATATACAACAACAGAATGGTCCAAGAGCCTGTCATTTAAATTAACATGTACCAAAAACTTGTTGCTATTTCTTCTCTTTGTTGATCCCTCACTTTCCGACATTTCTAACAGTTGCATACTTTTGCAGTTTTGCGTTAGTGAGAGTGAAAGTAATCTTATATTGATAATAATTAATTGCATGTCATAAAATAATATCTAACTGGTCAATTATTTCTTCCAATCTATAATGCAGCTCGTTTATAATAGATTATTCTGCATATTCAAAATCACATGAAAAATTCAATTAAATTTCTACGATTAATGATGATCAATGTGTTCTCTCATCCCATAGATTTCTAAAATATAAAACTCATACGCGTTCTCTAAGTCTCAATTCCACCACCATCAAAAGAGATTACGAGAGAAAGCCGATTTGGTCTGGAATCAACAGAATACATATATACCCATATAAGAAAAGGACGCAAAACGGGAAAAATAAGCGAACAATGTACTGCATACGAGTTTATATCGTCAATACGAAATTAGTTTAAACCAAGAAACAATTTAGTTACCTTCTTCCTCTGGTCCTTTGATGGCAATAGAATGGAGTTTAATAACTTGATTGAAAGGAATGTAGATCAACAGTTGCTCGTCCGCATCACTCTCCAAGTGCAAACCCTCGTCTTCTCGATAACCCTGGTTTTGCAAACCATATTAAAACCAACAGACATCGCCGAATTCTACCGCATTTACACCCCAATTCCAACACCAAATCAACCAACAACAATCAAGAAGCTAATATCATCGTAATTATACGCTAAATCGGGTAAAAATCTCGGAATAAGAAAAAACAAAAGTGAATTAAAAAAAACTAACAAAAAACCTGAAGCGATTATGAACCCATTCACTTGAGATATCAATACAGAAGTCTAAGATAAAATCCCAACCAAACAGGAATTAAAAAAAATTAAATAAAGGGGCGGTAATTATTTCTTTAGATGAATTGTATAAAGAATTGACCTGCTTGAGAGCATTTGGAAGAGAGTGGGTGCCGCTTTGATTCAAACATTCGACAGAAGACCAGTCCACAAACTCAACCAAATCAACCTGTGTATAACAAAATTTCTTCATCAAATTCGTAAATTAAAAAGAAAAAAAAAAGGAAAACGAAGAAGTGTAGCTACTTGATTTCTCGGAATGACAGAAGCTGATTCGCCGGACATGGCGAAGGATGATAAATGCAGTTCGGTGAAGAATCGGAGAAGAAGAAGAAGGCGCACTCAGTAGAATCTGCAAATTAGGTCAGTGGAGTAATTAACACGAATATATAAATTTGGGGCTAAATGCCAAAATATTTTCTGTGTTTTATCATTTATGCTGTTGTACATATTTTAAAAAGTAAATTACAACCACCCCTGAGGTATGGTCAATTTACGAAAAACTCCTCTTGTTTGGATAATTACATTTACCTTCCTCGACTATGTTTTTTTCTTACACGTCCATCCTTATGGTGTCAGATTCAACATAATCATCTAGATTCCATTGAATGTTCTCTAGTTTGTACTTGTTTTGTGCAAAAATACATACAGTTTATGATGCACCACAATCTGATATATACAAGCCAAAAAACACATATTATGATCATCTTGCTTCAAAATGTGGCATTTGAATGGGATAAAACGGGTACAAAAGAGATAATAATCCATACAATCTCGAATATTCCACTAAATTTGAAACCGCAAGGGGGTGGTTGTAATTACCCAAACAAGAGGGGGGGTTTCGTTGTTTGATCATACCTGAGGGGGTTGGTTGTAATTTAACCTAAAAATAAATAATAATAATAATAATAATAATAATAATAATAATAATAATAATAATAATAATAATAATAATAATAATAATAATAATAATAATAATAATAATAATAATAATAATAATAATAATAATAATAATAATAATAATAATAATAATAATAATAATAATAATAATAATAATAATAATAATAATAATAATAATAAATGAGCAATTATTTAAACATCTTTCACTCCGAATAATATGATGTGCTGGAAAAATAAAAATCGAAAAAATTGAATTAAAAAAAAAATTAAAAAAAGACCAAAATTGGAGGTGGTGTATTTTTAGTTGTTGACGTTTTTTTAGTTTATTTTGATTTTTTTTAAAGTTGATTTTAAACTTTTGTTATAGTTGTTTTCAATAATAAATGTAGTAATTTGTCAATTTGGTGAATCAGTTAGAAGAAAAAAAAAAGGATAAAAAAGGGATTCATAAAAATTAAACGAAATGAAGGGTAATTTGGGAATAAAAAAAAGTTCGATCTATCACTAATAACGAAAAGGGGTCTGACTCATTCTTATTAAAAAGAAATATTAGATGGGATCTCACTAATAAATCAGTCTATTTTATGTTACACCGCGTAGATCTTTACCATTTATATAGACGCAAACGCACCCAAACTCACATTAGTGTGTGTAGATCAATGGTAAGTAAATATCCGATATAGTCTTCATCAGATGTAACATAGAGATAACACTAATACCTAACTAGGTTGATCTGAGCGCCAACCGAGCTTTAGCCTAGTGGTATCTGGACTGGTTAGAGGAACTTAATGATACTGAATCATAGTGCACTACTTGATTTTTTAAAATAATTAAACAAAACGGATGAAATTAAAATATAAATAGGTCAAATTACGACCATCATTCTGAGACAATGTTAAATTACGGAGAAAAAAAACCCTTCATACTTTCATAATTACAAATCGAGAAGTGGTGCCTTTTTCTCATTATCATTTATAGATTTTTCAAAAATTAATGAAAAGTGCATGCAAGTCCTTAAATGAGTTGAACTAAACTAGTATAGTAGCTAACTAAACTGAACTTTTTTTATCGGTAAATAGCACTTA